ACGACAATTATTAATTTGTTAATGACTTTCTAAGTTGATTAGATTCTGCTTTAATAACTTTTACATTAAACTTGAAAGGTAACTTGGGGGATTATCAAAGTGTTCGTGCAGTTAATCTTAAAGGATCTTAGGTTTCGAGTTCACAGAGGCAAGTATAATATTAAGTTGAAGACGCAAAATTAAAGCTATAATTGGAATCCGGCAAGATTAATTTGAAATATTACAGAATAGAACAGACTCAACAATTTCATTTTTTAGTAAAAAAAATAATCTTAGCTCAATTGGATAAAATTCAGAATCCTGCTAAAACCGCATTTGTCTCACACATTTTGATGAAGAGTGTGAAGAGCAGGAGAGAGAAAGAGAGAGAGATTGAGCTATTCAAAAAACATGGAAACATTAGCTCTACCTAACTCAGATGCAGCAAGCCGATGTTTATTATGATTCAAGTTTAAATATTCAAAATTTTGGTTAGGTAATGATGATATGTTTTAAGAATAAAGCCTTCAAATAAATTTACTAAAATAGCGCATTTTTTTAACTAGCAATATATATTGTTAAGCAAACCTTAAATAATACCATCTCATTTCCGTCCCCACTCCCTACACATCCCATCTCATCGTAGAGGTACCATAAAAGCCAGATGTCAACGCTGGAATGTACTCAAAACACCCCAGACATCTTTAGGTGTTACCTGACAGCCAATTCAGCCTTTGTTGCTACTTGAAAATGGAGCCCCAGTGTTTTATTGTTGGGACACAGATGGCTTTGAGAGTTTCAGTGTCATCTTTACGTTTGTAGAATTTTAAAACATGTTCTTCCACTGAACTCAATAACTCTCATAATACAAGCCTTACAATGAGTACTTTGGGGCTTATAATTGGTGTGAGTGTTGGAGTGTTAAAAACATAAAATAACCATTTGTCAAAGTTTGGGTATTTGACGTGACATTAACAAAAGTCAAATTTAACTATGGATGAAACCACGCTGTCTACATGGAGACAAAAAGCTGTCTATCTGTCTGACAGCGATCTGCGATAAGTAGACAGTTGAAAATTTTACATCACGTGTAATTCTTTTAACACCATATCAAAATATAATAAAGTTGGAAATCAAGAGGACAAAACGTAATTTTTTGGACAATTTCTTAGTTGGTTTTTATTGTTATTCATTATTATGGCTTTGTTTATTCGATAATATTTGTCTAGAGTATTAGACACTATATTTTTTTTTATCTGAAGACATTTTTGTTAGGAAAATCTTTCACTCAGTCTACGTGTAGGCTGGATGGCATGGACCTAGTTTTTGATTATTCTTTACTCCTTTTTTATATCCAAATATAAAATCTTTAGATTAAAAACCGTATTTTCTTGCTTCCTTATTAAATGATTAACAAGGAATAAGCATAGACTAGTTACGCGGGGGTTTTTTCATGTCACTCAAATGCCATTTGTCATTCAATGAACATGGACAAACCATGGAGTCACTAATCCAAGCTTATTCTTCGATTGTTACTAAGGGGGTTGGTGTTTAATACTATATACAAATATTATGGACTCAACATAGTCTTTATATAATAGACAAAGAACAAAAATAACTTTATATCACCAAATTTAAACATATAATATACTATTTGTTTTTTTAAGAGAAAGGGAATTCTGGTAAGTTTTCTAGAGCTCCTGGAAAAGGTAATAGAGTCGGCATCTTTAATGTGATATGAATTACTGGTATTGCAAGCGTGTATGAGAACAAACTCACTTTTCAACTTTACCAAAAAATAACGATCTTATAGTATGGTTAGTAAAGTGGAATTAAATAAAAGGAGAATATTCGATCCAAAACATTGCAAACCAAAAGAAGAGCTGAAAGTAAAAAAATAAAGGCTAAGTTTAAGATAAGACAGACAATCATTTGAAAAACACAACAGCGAACCGGCAGCTGAGCGATACTTAACCTAAGCGATATTCTTCAAACAGGAAATGCAATAAGTCGGTGAAAATAGAAATTTTATTGAAGTGGAATAGAATTTCTGACATGTAGTTGGGTCTTAACATGGGGTGTATATGTAGGTTCACATATAAGTGTGTGTAATACAACACAAAAGATACTTGGTGTTTGTTCTTTAATGTATTATCGTCTTGGATATTATTGAAGCGTTAAAAAGTTTGAATAAGTTTTAAAATATATTTGTTCAGTATCAAGTGTTATGGTTGGGTCTTAGTATTGTGGTAACGTTTTGTAGTTTCGGATATCGTGTTCTAACTCGGAAGATTAAAAAAATACTCCCAATTTAATTTGGTATCTCACAAAAAACCAGTTCTAAAAATCATGCAAATTGTTGTTATATCTAAAATAAAGTACAGTTTAACTTTTATTATATCAAGTCCTGCATTTAATTATCCTCTTCTTCTCTATCGTCTACCTGAACAATAGACTAGAGAAACTCGGGATCAACAAAAATATTCAAATAATTTATACTAGATACCTAGAAGCAAAACAATTGTTAAAAAATTAGACAAATTAAAGTCAACAAATTGTTTCCAAAAGCATAAAAGAAATGACCATTAGAAGATAAACTTTGAACAAGTTTACCAAAGAAATTCTTAACCGTTAGGTAAGTGCTTTGAAAGCCTTAAGCCACTTCGTATCGTCCTACAAATAAAGATCCAAAGCGTTTCATACGTGAGGAGCGTGAATGGATACCGATAAATTTAATTTTGAAAGATAGTGGAGAATATTTTGGATACTCACTTTGCTGTAGCGGAAAGAGGTTCTAAGTGGATGAATTCACGATGCTTTCCTTTTTTAAGAGTTTATCTTTTAACCTTATGTGACTGGATATTCCACACATTATGTGTCCTAATTCACTTGTGTGATTACAGTGGTTCTTTGATGGCATTGTAGCATATTCTGCGACAAGATTTGATCAACTTTGGCCAAAAAATGGAAAAAAATAGTATCACAAGCTCTTCTGTGCTTTACAATTTTTATATTTAAAGCCATTGATCCGTGCTTTTTCTGCAGGCGATATTAACAGAGATAATGAAAATCTGTCAACGTAGTTCTAAGAATCATTTATAACTGAACGCTGTACAGTTGCCTAATTTCACTTCGTCACAACACGAAAGGTTCAATAGCATTCCTTCTTATTCGCTGCAAATATTTACGAGTACATGCTACAGTTGCGAATCGCTCACAGTGAACGCTTAGAAAGCCTCCTATTCACGCTGGGAAATCTAATCCTTGCGGGAATTGGGAAATATTGCTCGTCTAGCGGCACGCTCGTGGCATTCAGATGGTAATAGCGGGAAAATGGGACCGATATTTCTGAGGAATTTTCACTTTCCGACGTTGTGGTGTTTAATGAGCGAAGAAAATGTTATTTCAGTGTTACTATTATTCGTTTAGGTGTAATTTTGTTCCGGAGTCGACCAGAAAACGCGGGCTAAGCAAACTTTATAAAGTTTTTTGCTGGTGAATTGTTCTTGTACTTAAAGAAACCCTACTAATATTATAAATGTTGAAAATATGAAATGTTGGTACCTCTGGAAGTTTGTTAATTTCACACTAAAACGCCTGATCGGATTTGGATGGAATTTGTCAGAAAGTATACTTTTTATCTCTGGATAATTTAATTTAAGGTTCCTGTAGAATTCTCAAAAAACTAACTATAACGCGGACAAATTCGCGGACGGAACCTTGTCTTATAAAAGTTGACTATAGTAAATATGATCAGAGTTTGGCGATTAAGTTATCACGTTCAGTGCATAAGTTGATAAATTTTAGAGTTGATCTCTCTTCTAAAATTACGTCTGATTACTGACAGAAAGTAAGATTTTTTGACTAAAGATGTTTGTTACGACATCGTTTTATTTTCAAAAATGCATGGACAGCTATTTTAGAATGAGAGCATTAATCTGATCTCATAGAAACATTTTTTTAATGCAGCAATTGCTAAAACGTCTCGTCAACTTCAAATAAAAGTCTACAGCTACAAACATGTTATTTTGTCAAATATAAAATTATGTCATTAAATTACAAAATATAAAAGTTATTCGATTACATACTGTCCCGACGGAAACAAAGTCCATTAGAATAGTGTGAAGCAAACAGGAACACGATGGAATATTGCTACGAAAATGTCTTTAGTTTCCTGTGTTACGCCATTTCATTTTGTGTTTGCTAAAACTGATTTTGAAACTTGAGCAAACTGTTTATTGCGCTATGAATATTGCCGTGTTTGTTATGAAAACGCCTTATCTTGTAATCATCATTATCATCAGATCGGCCCATTAAAGCCACAAATCTTCTTAGAGACAGATTAGATGAATGTTTCGTAACGGTCCATATATCAAAACTTTGGCTTTCTGAAGCTTCAGAAATACTTACAGACTGAATTTTTTGATAGAATTTTTATTTGAAAGACCGTATGTAAAGACTTCAATTTTTTTTTTAAATTTTAGATTTTAATTAACGTTATGTCTTAATGCAATGTTTGTATTTCTTTTGACTTATCTAGCATTATGTAGCAGTATAGCGATATTATCTCGATAGTCAGAATTATATATCTTTAAGCTTATCTGGGTAAGACTGTCTGAGGGTATCATCTTCCAAATGTGCTGTTTTAATTTTTATTTGCTAACTTAATTCTACATCCATATTAAGCAACCTATTATATAGCAAATCCTACTGATTCGATTAGAATGCCTGATTCAATGTGGATTTCGTCGACAATCATGCGTGTATAATATTTTCGCCTTTTGTGAATCTTGCATTATGTATAGCTGTATTATCTCAATTGCTAGAACTTATAACTATCAAGATTACTTAGCGTAGGCTATATATAAGTCATATAAAGACCATCGTATAAATGTCTGAAAAGCTTTTAAGTTTGATAAAAAGTGTTTTAGATCAATGTTTACAATCTTTTTTATTGCTGATCTAGCATAATGTATTGCGTTTTGATTTAGATCACTGGTATTTTCTATTTTTAAGCTTACCTGGCTAAGGCTGTCTCCAAGGCTACCATCATCCACAGGTCTGAACAGCTGCTCCTTCATCAGGTCCCGCGGCCGTTTTCTCTCCGTAGAGTCGCGCATGGCTTGACTCTGCAGTCTCTCAAAGAACTCCCTGGCCTTCAGTGGGGGAGGTTCGTCGTCCGGAGGAGGAGGCGGAGGTGGCGGTAGCCGAATACGGGGGGAACTGAGAAGAAAGTGGTTATTTTGAAAATCATTTGGTATTACTGGCGACTTTTATGAAGGAAGAGTTATAGCCGAGAAGTATTGTGTTCTGGCAGTTCCATGATTGGTTACCAGAGACCACTACCCGTTACATGTCGCCTAAACCACCACAGTCCTCTTAACACTTGTAGACGTATTAATGTTCTTACTAACATCGCTATTAGGTTTAACGGGGTAGGGGAATTAGATCAGGGAAGGCAACGGTGCAAGTGATATTTTTGGTGTCGCATGAGTCTATAGGTTATGGTGGCTACTCATCAGGCGGGACATACGCTTGTATGCCACCATTTTATGAGCTAAAATTAGCGCTAATATTAGGCTGATACGGCCTTCTAGAAGTTTCAAATCACACAGAGAATATTAATAATACGAGGATCTCTAATCTAGAATTTGCACTAGGCCTATAAAGTAATGACTATAGCTGGGAACGATGCCTTACCGTCCCTTTCGAAGCAAAAATAATCTCTATATAACGAAATGTTGGTCACTCGATCATTGCAAAAGATGCATAACTTCCCTAAGAGCAGACAGATCCAGTACAGTACAGATACAGTAGCCGAAACCGAATAAACCTTATTTGTTTTGTTAAAATGGGTGGCAAACAAGCATATGACCCGCCTGATGGTAAGAGGCCACCATAGCCTGTAGACGCTTGCGATAAATAAAATATCGCTTGTCTACCCTGACTCAACCCCCTAGCCCCTGGAGCCCTTTTTTTTTAACGATGAGAAATCCCTTGACGGACCGTACCGTGCGCTGGCGAGGCGCACGGCGTGTGTGGGACCCACCCGGCGCGGGATACAGCGCTGGTCCTACCCACTAAAACTCACCGGTACCCTGGAATCTTATTCACTAACAGTAAAGGTACAATTCCGTAATGGGCTGCATGCGACAACCGCAGGCGACACTAAGGCGGCGACACTACTAGTTTCTATGAACCTCTCTGAAAAAGATTCCGAGCGCGGCGACATGCCGCGGCTGCACAATGCATATAAAGGTAGTGACGCGGCCTCAGTGTCACCTGCGGTTGTCGCCTGCAGTCCATTACGGAATTGTACCTTTACTGTCGGTGAGTAAGATTCCAGGGCTCCAGGGGCTAGGGGGTTGGCTGAGGGTAGACAATCGATATATTATTTATCGCAAGCGGTTTATTTTACTTGTACCTTAACACAAAATCACCAAAAGGTAGTGTTATTTTAATGTGGTCTTCTGTAAGCTGGAGCTTACTTCCACAGACGGGCGCTCCAATTCGGGAAATCTGATATGCCCTACCTCTCTTAATGATAATGATTAGTACCTGCGTATGAGCGACCGTTCGTCATCTTCTGTGGAGCGTTCGTCATGTTCAGAATCGGAACTTGGGCTGCCACGGCGCCTCACGCCTTGGAGGTGCGGCTCGAGAAAAGTCGCATTTCTGAAAAAGAAATAAAAATATATTGTTTTAAAATTTCACAGTCACTAACATTATAGTAATATAAGTTATTTACAGAATGGTAACCACGTACCTTGTTTTTAGCGAGTTTCCGATATTTCGGCACTGTTGCAAGCGCCATGAACACGGAGTAACTACTCAGCTACTCAGTTACTCCGGGATCATGGCGGTTATAACAGTGCCGAAATATCGGAAACCCGCTAAAAACAAGGTACATGGTAACAATCCCGTAAATAACTTATATTATTAGGGATAAGGAAAACTGAGTTTTATAGTACAGGTCTAGGTGACTAAGCTGGAGGTGATGAGATTATGAGTTCAATTTGTCTTCTAAGCAATGACAGTGATATTATGCAGTAAATAGTTGATAATCTTTATCGGTGAACAACTGAATCAGTTTAAACATTGTTTATTTGTTAAATTGCATAGCAAATTTCTCGTTCGATTTTGAGCGCTCGTCTCGGTAAGTAACCTCAACTTTGCAGACAACAGTTATACATTCAGATAAGACTACCCTTTGGGGGTTGTAGTATTTTGTGTTGGTTTGGTAAAATTCATAGGTATATTGTCTGTGGGTGCCTCTAATGAATGCTGGTTTTGTCGCATCATCTTTTTTCAAATTATGTTATTTAAACAATTATTGTAATGTGTGTGACATGAGCAAATAAGCCACCAATTATACTCCTAAGAAGTTTCCAATAACATAAAGTCAGATTCGTTTTTCTGATTCTAAATTAATTTTTAATTAAGGTACTAACATTCAAAGAGCTTCTCTAATAGACATTTCTAAGACAAAGGATTTATAACACAATGACGTATATCAAATACTATGCACAAAATTAATTCTTATCATAAATCATGTTTCTAACACAAGCTATGGCGTCAATTTCCTTAAGACAACTATCTAATACGCTATAACCTTTCGACCCAATCAGACGCCTAGTTATTCAGCAGTTAGTGTAAAATATGCTCAACGGAACTTTAATTACGTTTCAATTTATCGTCGGTCGCAGTTTATGGCTCCATCTCGATTATATTCATCCGCCAAGGGCATTAAGGGCATAAAGCACATGAGGCTGAGTAGGGTGACAATAGCAATTGTCATTTTGAATCGGTGATACGGTTAAACGGTGACCGTATCAAATATAGCCCAATTTCCTACAATGCATTATTCCAAATCAAAATTGGCACAACAATCGCGTTACTATATAATACATAGTCAAATAGAGAACCTCCTAATTTTTGAAGCCTGTTTTTTTTTACAATCTTCTTTATTTAGAGGCTTTGACCTTATAAAGATATGCCAGTCCCATCATTTCACAATTAGAAGAATCTATTTTTTTCATAAGGAAACGATATTTCCTGGATGGATAATGTCCAGTCTTAAAGCTGTTACAATGAACCTTCTGCTGCATTTAAAATTGACAAACCAAGGAATTCTGAGAGGCTGACACTGGATTGTCTTGTACCGGATTCCTTTTTCCCTACTTCGTTCGTCAAAATACTCTTAAAATTTTCCAAAACATTTTCTTTTGAATTTTCCCAGAAGCTCTGAATAAAATGGTAAAATATTTGAGTTAACACCTTCACTGATAGCTAACTTCGCCAGTCTGTCGGCCTCTTCATTTCCTTTAAGACCAACATGAGATGGAATCCATTGCAATCTCAGAGTAATGAAGCCTGTTTAATAATTTGCAAATTAAATCGAGATCTGCTTGAGCCTACTGAAAGTTTTAGCATAGATGTCGATGATGTCACTGCAACAATTATAATATTTTGCAGTCTACAGATAGGCGGATTCACAAAATATATACACTACGCGAAGCGGATTGGTGTCAACCACTGTACGTCGAAGAGGTGGACAAAATGGTGTGTGATTGACTTACGCGGATACTACCCGGTACTCGAAATCGTATTCTGCTCGAATCAGTGGATAAATCGGTATTAGCTAGTGCCTAGACACACTTTCAGTTAGCGTAAGAATCACCTAACAGAGCTTAACTCAAAGAGCGAAAGTTTGCCGCGCGAAGTGATTCATTGAACACGTTATCACGCCTTCAAAGTTTCAGTGGTAGCCTGGACACCCGGCCCCGGCTGGCCAGACCAATGGGACATTAAGTAAGATTTATAGGAGCCCACTCACCACCTACTCGTATTAATTAAAAAGCAACACACGCCGCCGCGAGACGAGTGCGTCGGACGGCCACAATTACTTACTGGGTTTCGGTCGTGTGGCGAATTTGTCGAAAAACACAGAAAATATTTGCGCACGCAAAAAGGAAAAATGCGAAGGGCAAAACGGTTTAGGAATCCTTTTGTGTTTCACTATTACGCTTTCGGTATTTGGTACTGAAAATAATGAAAAAATATAAATGTTTTTCGGTGCTTTCTGCAACGTACGAGTATGTACCAACCAACGCTACGTATCCTTGTGAATTATTTCAGCAATTTGTACTCATTTCGTTCTTTGATGTGTTAAATATTATTTTCAGCTTCACAAAGCAAATAAATATATATTCGGTAGATTAGTTGATGGTAACCCATCATTAGCGTAATCATAGTGGTAAATTGCATGTCAGCCATGAAGCAACAAGTAAGAAGACCTAGTGCTAGGTAAGGTTAGTGAGTATACTGGAGTTTCATTTGGTTGTGGTGCGAGGCTCAAGCCAAGAATACTAAAGTTAGGTTCGTTGGACTCTATGAGCTAATTTCACATCTGTACTCCGATTTGAAACCGGTAGGCCTATTCGCTAATTGCTTTTGACAAATGGAAGTGATAATCACCGAGCTATTTAGTGATCCACTACTGCTTTATTATAACGCCCCTAAGGTATTTGTTCTGAACAGCATCAATGGATATGCAATTTTCACTTTAGTCACATCAAAAAATTTTGCGAATATGCCAACAGATGGGGTGCAAACATTTGATATAGTCCTTCTTTTATTTCTGTGATCTCTAAAGAAAGGATAAAATGAATTGTTAAATTACAAAGTTAGAAAGACAATTATTACACAGTAAAATTATTACTAATGCACTTCATAACTACTCACTCTCTAAAATTTTTACCATGCAATCTTTCCATCATGAAATCTTTTCCTGCGCGTAAAACACTACAAGTGATTGGGTAGAGCCCATCTAAGGCATCTAGTTTCGTATTAAAAATTGCCGTAATAACATTGTAGCCCGTTGACGCGCCGCGACAACCAATTTGTTTCCTGTCCGCCGACCGATATCATATGACAACGGCCGGTAACATATTATGATTTACGTTGGGGATCAACTCGAGTTCCGCTTATTTGTCACCTGACTTAATAACACGCGGTCCCCCAAAAATTAATCCAAAATCCTGTATTAACTTATAGGGATCTCTTTGGAGATAAAATGTATGTACGTTACAAAGCATTTGTTATTGTTTATAGGTAAACGGCCTGCGTTGTCGGTCATGGCCCAATCTTCTTATCCTATCCATAGGAAAAACCTGTGCACATACAGAGGGGATATTAGATGATGAAAAGGCCTGTACCCCTAGCACGAACCAATATCGAATTTGTATCGTTTGCGAGTCCGAAATGTCATTGCCAAATGTGTACTGATTTTTAGTTCTCGTTCTCTTCTCGTTACGTACTTTGCCGCTGCTGTTCAAATTTCTATACAAATTTTGACATTGACATTTCGGTTTGCAAATTATTCGAATTCGTTAATGGTTCGTGCTAGGGGTACTGAACAACTGTCGTTTAGAAAAGTTTTTAAACTGAATATTTCCTAAGACGCCGCATTTTTTGAGATGGACAAAATCCACTGGACTCGCAACATTGTTACCGACACCGCTGTAAGTATAATTTAATTTTGCTTAAGGTTGTTAGTACTGGCTTAGTCTAATACAACAAAAGCTCCTCCGAGCGCAAGGTATTAAGTTCGAACTTGGCAAGTTTTTTTTTTTCATTTTTATTTTTTGACGTGACAACGTCTTAAATTAGGTTGCGGCTGGGAGTCACTTATGAAAAAGTGTAACGCTCGGTAACGTTACGATGAGTCTCTCGTGTTAAGTTTAAGTTTACATGTACAATGTTTTAGTAAACAAAATATATTTCTATAGTTAAAATTTGTGCAATTCTTATTTTCATTCAATTCCTTGTTCCTATTGTGCAATTTAATTATATTCATATCAATAAATATTCTACCGAGAAAAAGACGTTGTCACGTAAAATCTTCGCCCGTAAAACCGACTTTACAGGCAACCATTTTTTTTTTATTGTTCTTTTTTGTCTATGTTTGTTTACATTTTGCTTAGTTTTTTTTGAGATTTCAGTTTTCACTTCTGTTGGCACTGTCGGACTGCCACAGCAATTTCTTATGCAATATTTTTTGCATTACAAAGTAGGTAAGCATCTATCAAGTGATAGATATGTATATATGTAATAATTCAAGATCGGATAATAATCGGATGCACCTAAAGTGATTTTTCGGCTAACAGTATGGAAGCAGCATCATAGAATTTTTTTAATTAAACTAAATTCCGGTATCGTATAACTAATTGGATGTATATTGACGTTAAATTTTGATTTCCCGTTCGAGTACGTGTGTAAGTCGGGTGTGAGAGAAATGCTAGTTTGGTTAATAAGAAAACATTAATGAATATACATTTATTTATTCGTTAAGGACCTAGATTGATACAGGACATTTGTGTCAATCTAGGTAACACTTCAATTGAATTTCCCGGAATCGCGGGATTTTTTCCATAAAAAAAGTGTTTTCCATAATAGCCAACTTCTCAACTTTAGGTAAATTTGCTTCCGATTATCCGATCTCTAGTAATAATATTGCTTAAACTGTGGAATCTTTTTAGATATCTTTCAAATAACCCTAAAATATAAAATCAAAAACAAACGATTTCAGAACCACACCACAAAAGATTTCACTGAATCGTTTCTTAACGAATCGTTAGGGCAACTCCGTTTTATGAAACATTAAATACGATGTTTC